CGGACATGTCCGGCTTTTGGGGATTTCCCCCCCGGACGGGGATTTGGAGCCCAAAAAGCCGGACATGTCCGGGAAAATCCGGACGTATGGTAACCCTAGGCTACAGGAACTGGTTATGACCATTCCTGACCCCAAAGCTTCATTCTTCACTGCTACAGAGGAATTCAAGTGACACTCTCCTATTCCCCCAGAAGCCCATGTGACTTTCCTCCCACCCCCACCCCGGGGCTTTCAGCACAAGATTTCTTCTTGCTGCTAACCAACCCTGGGATAGATTCTGCCACATTAAAGAAATCATTCCCCAGTAGAAATGGTGCAAAACTGTGTGCCACCATTACAACAGTCAGCTGAGTCTACAAATCACCAGTTTCTATGTGTACCTTAGCTAAAAGTGCAAGGACTTTGTAACCACCCACCAGTTCTAATTCTGCCATTTTTCTGGGCAACAAATCCTTCTCCTGGATCAGGTCCCTCCTGACCACAGAAATCTCTGCACCAGTGTCCCTCCATCCTAGGAGTGCTTTCCCATAAAGTTTAACAGCATGCATATGCTCACTGCTTGGTTGTGTAGAAGCAACCTTTACAAATTCTGTCTGGAAAGAAGCAGTAATCTGTCTCTGAGAAGCAGCAGCTTCATGTGTTACCTGCTGCCTGTTACCACTCAGCCAAGGACAATTATTCCTCAGGTGCTCAGTAGACTTACAATGATAGCACTTCTTGGGCTCCTTTGCTTGTACGGGAGATTTGGGACCAGTAACAGGGGAATGGGCAGGTGAACGCCCGGCCTCCTTTTTCCCAGGGGTAAAACGGTGATTCTGCTTTCTACCAACCCTGTACCCCTCTGCCAGTGGTTTATGTTTAATTGCTTCTTGTGACTGCTCAAAAGAGTCTGCAAACCCAGCCAATCCGCCCACTGCATCCACCTTTTTGTCCCATAAATACTGTTTTACATCATCACTGCACATATTCAGGAATTGTTCCTGAATAACCAAATCACACATTCCTTCAAAACTTGTAATGCCTTTTCCCCTCACACACTTATCTAACAAATTTCTCATTTAATTTACATAAGCCACATTACTCAATCCAGATCCCCTCTTAAGACTCCTGAATTTAACCCTGTAGGTTTCAGTTGTAATCTGAAACTGTTTCAAAACCAGTTCCTTAAATTTTCCATAGTTTGAAGCATCATCAATAGGCATCTTATTGAATATGTCCAGAGATCTGCCAGTCAATTTTTCTACCAATGTGGTCATCTTTTGATCTTCAGGGATTGCATGGAGAGTGCACGGTCTTTCAAAGGTGATGAAATATTTGGCGATATCACTGGACTCATCATACTGCGGACATAATTGTTCCCATTTGTGGATTTTTGGGGAGGTGGAGCCAGCTGCTGGAGGGTTTTGTCTCTTCCACTCCATAACAGACAGTTCATGCTTCTGGGCCTTTATTTCTCTGTCTCTTAACTCCAGGGCTCTATTGTGAGCAGCTTTCTCCCTGCCTGCCTCTGCTTCCATAGCCCTTTTGTGGGCAGCTTCCTCCCTGGCTGCCTCTGCTTCTTTGAGCTTCAATTGAAAATTCCAGTCT